CGCCTTGGGAGTGAATTGCTAGAGTACGTCGGGATGCTTTTGCACGGGATGCTGTGACTGGGAATACGGTGATAGAAACTTTGTGGAGCAGTGTTTTAAACTTCTCTCCCCCACACCCGGGTCTGGGATCACGTCTGAATCTCACCCATCAACCTGAGACAACAAGCCACTTAACTTGTAGAGCTGATGGCGGCGGAGTGGGGGGGAGAGTCCATTCTTTGTGAAACTCCTGCTTTTGGAAGGTGATAAGGTGAAACGGGAAAGAGTCATGGTCTGACTAAAACTGAAGAGCGGTGGATGATGGGGGGGTGTTGAATTTTATGCAGACCTGCTCCCCAGTCCTTGTTTTCTTTACCAAGAGTGAAGCATGAAGCTACTACGCACACCCCAAGGCCCCTTTTTAGCCAGCTTTAAGCTCATCTTAAGAGGCATACTGACAGAGGTCTGCCATTAATATTGGGGATATTCCTTTATAATTTTTCTCCAGTGTCTGTAAGATGCTGGTGTATGCCCGATGAAGTGGATTTTGTTCCACAAAAGCACAGACTGCTTGATTTTTTTTAAAAAGCAGTGTAAGAAAGGTGGCAACTTCTCCAGCATTTTTGAATTTTTTTTCTCTCTGTTACAGCAAATGTCTGCCCCCTTTTTTCTCTTGCAGCCTGTCTGTCCCTTCTTCTTCCTTTTCTCTTTCAAAATGTCACAGATTAAAAAGAAGGAAGCGGTGGCAGTGTTAGTACAGTGACCCTCCTTCGATTCACCTGCTTCTCAGTCCATAGCCTGTGCTGTAGCTGACTTGAAAGTAAACCCATTGAGTAATGGAATTAATTCCAGGAACCAAGCTTAATCATGTGGGATGGGTTGGCTCTTTGGATGACTATGTACAGTATTTATGTCAAATTTGGTAAAGCGTCCCTGTTGTATGTGGGGCACTTTGACTCAACATTTACCCTATAATCCTGCTCTTGTGTATGGTTAACAGGTTTGGCAGGTTTTGAACCTGTGCCAAAACGTACAAAACTTGTTTGACCACAGTAAAGAGTCAGAATTACATGTATATATCCACTTTCAGCATTGTTAAAAATACTGTGTGTGACCTTTGTTTCTAATGAAGATTTTAGGAATGGGTGCCTATGCCCTAGTCTGGAGAGTACTAAATGGATTCTCCTTTAGATGAAGGAGTTCAGTTTACTGCTCTGTTTAATAAAACAGAGGTGCTGGAAAACTAGTTTCATATAGCAGCTATCATATTTCTTATCTGAATTAATAACTAATATACACAGTAACTTTGGTTCAATTTATGTAATGCTTTTTTATGCAGAGAAAGCACTTGACAAACATTATTTGGATAATTCTCCCGCCACATAGGGTAGATCAGTGTTGCAAGGAAGGTAGGAGATGGTGGCTTGCCTAAGGTTACAGAGTGAGGCAATGACAGAAATGCAAATTACACCAAGAAGTTTGATGTTAACAGATTACTCATTGTGCCATCTGCCTGTCCTGTAGCTATATCTTTTCATATATTAGTGACATATCGGGGAGGGGATGTTTTGAAGGAGAAGAAATTGGGGAAAGCACCTCCTTCCATCCCAGACGTGGTAGGAATGGAAACTGCTATCTCCTTCTGACTAGGAGCCAGGAGGGGGTGTGGTCTGGTCACTTTCGATATTTGCAGTGCAGTCGGTGAGGGGACAAAAGCAGGACTTAATCTGACCATGGGGTTTACGTCATGCAATGTATAAAAAGTGGTTTTAAGCATAAAGGAGCATCACAAGAAATGCTATTAAGGAGAATATCTTGTAGGACAGAAAATAAATCTTTCAGACAACTCTTATTTTAGATGCCAAATGGAGAAGGAGTGGTCAGACGGAAGCTTAGTACCGGTGGTGATGGAATTTTCTGTTTCTTGCTTCCTTGCTTACCTGTAATGAAAATGAATAAAGTTGTCATTGACTTAAGAACAACCTAGCCTTTTTTCTTTTCCTCTTCCTTAGAAAGGTAGCCCCATCTGCAGAAATCAGGAGGTGATCATTTTTAAAGGCGATAAATATTAGCACCTGTTAATAGTTGACATCCTAATGCTCACTGTAGTAAGTTGCACTAAAGTATCCACATTGAATCATTGGGGATTTGGTGAGTCAACTGCTCTGTAAATTCCAATTATTCAAATGTGCCTACTCTAACTGCCACTTTAGCAAAGGGAGTCACAACTGGAGTAGACACACGTGGATCAGTGAAACTTGTGGAGACGTTGTTTTACCAGATCTAGTGCTCTAGTGCAACTAACACATGAAGTGACAGGTTTTCAGTCATTATATCCACTGTCGGCTGTTAAACTTGCTGTTAAAAGCACAGGAACGAAGGAGGAAATCCACCGTGGCATATTTAGGTAACAGTGAAAAGTGAGCTACTGGACAGAACATCGTGGCGTTCTAATACAAGTTTCGCCTGACTGTGGATTTTGGAATTTTTCTGATTAACCAACAAGGGTTCCTTTGGTTTTGCAGGGTTCATTTGTGCTTTATGTCCTTCTATCAAAATATGTAAGCCAGGTAAATAGATTTCAGTGCTTTATCTTATGCAACTGTCATGTAAATCCCTTTCTTTTACCATTTCCCTAACATCAATCACTGCTTGTATTGTTCACAAATAATAAGTTATTTGTGCTAGTACTGTACCTAACTTTCAGGCACACTTTTAACAATGTGACTTATTCATTGAGTGCCATTTTTTGTTAGATAATGTTTAATGCTTTATATTTTTAAGCATTCAGTGTATTCTAATCAGTTGTATAGTTTAATTTTTTAATGTATAACTTCATTGTATTTCTAATTCTCTTCTTTTTAATACTGTGAGCCTCCTCCCTTATCAGGAGAATGGCAGCATGTAAATATATAAATAAGTTTATAAAAATACAGTACTGTATATATAAATACAGCTTTGGTTGCAGTGTTACATAGATGTTTACATAGAAAAAAGCCCTGTTGAATTTAGTATGTCTTCTTTCTCAAGAGACTGTTTAGGACTGTCTAATTGTGTGTGTGTGTGTGTTCTACAGTCATTTACAATTAGGTGTAACAAATGTGAACAAGCGAATTGGAATCCACCAGTGAATTGTCCCGTCTTGGAACAGGAGTGAGGTGGCTCCCAGATGTATTTTATGGGCTTACTAAAATGTAGGTAAACAGGCCTCCAGTCATGAGTCCTAGCTTCCTATAGTCAGGAGGCTTGGCTTCCTCCAATCACAAGCCTTGTCCACTTGTTAGTAAAAGTTTCTTGTTTTGATGAAAATAGAGAAATTCTACACATTTTTGTATCCCTCTTATATCTAGTAAGTGAAGTGTTTTATGTGTTTGCCTGGAGTACATGTGCTTCATGTATGTGTACTCCACAACCCGGAAGTTTTTACTGGTAGCTGATGGTGAATTCATTTGAAGCCTGGATTTGCCAGGAAGTGAGTTTGTGTAGTACTGTACTTGTACCACCGGATCACTTGACTTGCTCTGCCTTTCTCTCAAGACCAAGAGGTTGGCCATTCCTCTTCAACACACAGCAGCTGAAATATCTGTGCTGACCCTGTCATGAGGCGTAGTAAGGCCTCCACCTCAGCTGATGGGTGATGGAGCTGTAAGGAGGGGAAGCAAAGACCTGTCCCAGGAATAGTTCTGAAAACTCATTAGGAGGGCAGTTGTAAGCGTACTGTCACATGACCTGTGCCAAACCTACTCAGCTAGCTATAGCCCCTTGTATGTCAGCACCACTGAACTAGATGCAGCTGCCAGTCTCCTAGCCACCTTCTTTGTAGAACAAGAGAAAAGGTATGCTATTTTGTCCTTTGACACAGCCAATAAAAGGTCACAGGCTAACCCTGAGTAAAGGATGGGTCTTGATAGGTATTTTTTGTTGTTTAGTCGTTAAGTCGTGTCCGACTCTTCATGACCCCATGGACCAGAGCACGCCAACCCCTCCTGTCTTCCACTGCCTCCCGGAGTTTGGTCAAATTCATGTTGGTCACTTCAATTGTCCATCCATCTCATTCTCTGTTGTCCCCTTCTCCTCTTGCCTTCACACTTTCCCAACACCAGGATCTTTTCCAGAGAGTCTTCTCATTAGATGGCCAAAGTACTGGGGCCTCAGCTTCAGGATCTGTCCTTCCAGTGAGCACTCAAGGTTGATTTCCTTCAAGACGGATAGGTCTGATCTCTTTGCAGTCCAGGGGACTCTCAAGAGTCGCCTCCAGCACCACAATTCCAAAGCATCAATTCTTCGGCGGTCAGCCTTCTTTATGGTCCAGCTTTTACTTCCATACATCGCTAGTGGAAAAACCATAGCTTTGACTATTCGTACTTTTGTTGGCAAGGTGATGTCTCTGCTTTTTAAGATGCTATCTAGGTTTGTCATTGCTTGCCTCCCAAGAAACGAGTGTCTTTTAATTTCGTGGCTGCTGTCACCATCTGCAGTGATTATGGAGCCCAAGAAAGTAAAATCTGTCATTGCCTTGATAGGTACAAGCCCAAGAAGGTAAAATCTGTCATTGCCTTGATAGGTATTACTATCCCACTAAGACATACAACTCCATTGGGGTTGTTGCTCCAGTTAAACTGCACAGTCATTTGTGCATTAAGAACACCCATTCAGATTGGTCATGGAAAGAACTCACCTGCCTAGCTTTCGAAGTGTGAGTCAGTATTTATCATGAAGCAACTGTGAGCATGAGCATGCTTTTAATGAGACAAAATTTATACAAACCTGCTTAGTGTGTATACTATGTATGTACTTAGTCTAAGGCTGCAGTAGACAGTTACTCACAATAAGCCTCATTGAACTCGGTAAACATGTATTGGATTGCACAGTATCAAATGGATTACAGGGTCCTGTATAGTTAAGGTTGCCAGCTCTTGTTGTGTTATGTGCATGTGCACAATATTACTGTGCTTTTAACAGCTCTGGTAAACATAAATTTAACAGATGAAGCTGATCAGGCTTGGGCGTGAAGTCATAGGTTTTACACGTGTCTGCCGGTGAAACGCCTTCCCCTTGGGCAGCTTTTAAAAACAGGAGAATTCTAACAGGTAAATTAGGTGTCCTGTTTTTACTGGGGAAAATGTGTTGTGAAAATTGTATTTTTAAATGAAACGTTTTTAATTAAAGGAAAGGAATTGAAGGAATTCTGGAAACCAGCGTCTCTACTTTGCTTCCATTCAAGCTGTTTGGGCTTTTCCACACAGAAGGGGGCTGGGCAGACTCTTGCATCAGCATCCTTTGCATCAGGCTAAGTAATTTGGGTAATTCTGCATAATTATCCAAATTAACTTTGCATGGGGAATTAAAAGGAAATTCAGGAGCTTGATTTTAAATGTAAGCTTTTAGAGAAGATCTACCAAGTAAGAGTATATTTTTTAAAAAATGAAATCTCTTGAGTCTCCAGAAGGAGATAAGATGGCAGGAAGCATGGAGACCATAGACTATCAACTTCCACAGAAAACTTGGGAGCAAGCTATCAAGTTGTTGTTACGCTGTTATGTTTTGAGGTCAGTAGTGCCTTTGGAGTAGATGTCTAGGGCCTTGTTCAGTCAAATGAGTAGTAACATCCTCTTAAGTACAGAAAAGCTGCTTTAGTATTTCCTGAAAAGGAGAAGGGAGCATAAGATTGTAAATCCAGAATTTAAAATGGCCTACATACACTAAGAGCACAAAACTACTAAGCTGAGAAGTTAAAATTGCCAAAGTACACTGCTGCTGGAGGTAGCAAATGGTTTCTCCAAACTTGTGTTCAAAAGAAACCCTGGGTTTCCTTAGTGTTAACAGAAAGACCAATTTCTTTTCAGGTGCTCAGCCATACAAGAGGAAAAGCCCAGTGAGTTTGTGACCTTTTCCCAGGTATCCAGATGATGCAGATTGGTCTCTTCCAAATTAAAGGGTAAACTCCATGCTAGCAAGCCACCCTGCATGTCAGATTGCTTACTGTTTTAATATTGACAGACAACAAGTAACTCACTGGGGAGAAGTTATCTCTCTTCCCCCCCCTTAAAATTTTGAAGCAAAGAGAAACAATTAAACCATTGCTTTGTTAATATGCAGTTTGTTTCTACATTCTGTGGCACTTAATTAATGAAAAAAATCAATATTGAAATATTTTACCTTACATTTATGAATGTTTCTATTTGTTTTAAATTGAGTTATTCCCAATAAAAAAAAGAATTTGGGCATAAGGTTTGAAAGAATAAATGAAACTTTTATATATAGGCACTGTATATAATTATCAAAAGGGGGAACTAAGTTTAAAAAAAAAAAGACTGAGAAGGTACTATCTTTTAAAATACCACATTTTTCCGTGTATAAGATCCTATTTTTCCCCTATAATCATTACACTAAAAATTGAGGGGCATCTTATACACAGAAGTAAGCTGAGGCGAGAACAAAACGGCAGATACCTTGCCTCTGTAAACAGGCCTCCAGCCATGAGTCCTAGCTTCCTATAGTCAGGAGGCTTGGCTTCCTCCAATCACAAGCCTTGTAGAACTGACATCAGCTTATCCTGAACAAACCAATTGGAACACACCTCCTTGGAGGTGGCGCCTGTAGGCTTAGATGCAACAGGGACTCAAAATGTCCGACCGTTCTGAGCCCAGAGGCTGAATCCTCAAGGCTAAGTTTTCTTAGTTTTTAGGTTAGAAAAGTGGGGGGAGGGGTATCTTATAAGCGAGGGCGTGTTATAAACAGAAAAATACAGTAAATCATAAATACGATTTGTACTGAAGAAATTATGGATAGTTGCAGTATCTTAAACCAAGGATTCAGGAACCTTTCGCCATCTAGAGCAGAGGTGTCAAATTCAATTTCATCTTGGGCCGCATCGGCATTAGGGTTGCCCTCAAAGGGCCGGTTGTATCTGTAAGACTATAGAAATGTATCTGCTCTTCATCATATGTAAATATAATCTCTCCTCATTTGATTATTACTGGTTTTAGAAATAACGTACGGTAAGTAATAACTAGCTCTGACAGTAAAAGTCTGTGATCAAAGTTTGGAAATAATGGCAAGCAGATAAGAACAGGGAGTGGTCATAAGTGAGGACTACATTTCCCAAGGTGCTGTATGCCACCCAAGCTACTGCACTTTCTGACTCTTCACTGCTTGGAATGCTGGGTGGATTCCCCGCATCCTTGCAGAGCATTATGGGTGACCGAGTAAGCACCTGCATATTGTATACTGCACAATAGCAGGAAACCCTGCTAGGGCCACATGAAATAGCCGGGAGGACTGAATTTGCCCCGCAAGCCTTGAGTTTGACACCTGTGATCTAGAGGTTACAACCTCCACCAGTGCTTTGCCATGGGCCCTGCTCAATGGAACTGATGGGAATAAATGGTCCAAAACATTTGGAAAGCAAAATTTTTCTTAAGCCTGTCATAAACTATTTTTTAAAGGGACCAGAGATGCTCCCTGTGGCAGAGGATAAGGTTTGTTTCCTCTACCTAGGTATGATTTTTGCCATAGGCAAGGCATGTTCTGAGTTGGCTTGGGGTGAATGTCTTAAAGTTATGTGCGT